AGCTACTTTTAGTCAGTAAACCATTCAAAAATCACCCTCTATTTCTATAATATATTTTCCATTCTATCAAATGAGACCAAGAAAACGAGAATATAACCATTAATACCATATGAAAATACATACACCACAAAGTTGCTGTTTTAAACCAAAAACATCACTGCAGTTTTTTTTCTCATTATGAGCTGTGTGTTGCAGGATGTTTTTTATACTGCGCACACTGACCACACAGACCTATTCTCTCATATGTAGGCCTACTAGCTTTCTCCCACAAGATTTGAAGCTGCTAAAATTTTGGCATTGTATTACAGGACCCACACTGGTTTCAAAGCTGTAATTTTATGGACCGACACTGAAGGGATTAATATAAGACAGTGTAATGCTATCACGCTTTCATATGCATTTGAAAGGCTGTTTCATTTTATAGTGATTTTTGCTTTGCAGCAGTAGCCCGGACCCTAACCTGCTGTATAAGTGGGGCCCACCTGTATATATATTTTGCATTCTTGCCCTCGTTGAAGATCCTCTTTAACAATAACTTATTTTAAATCCTGAATTATATTATAATGTATACAGGAGACCCTTGCTTTAGATGTCACCTATTAACACTGAAAAATTGAGGCATTTTTTTCAATGAGCACATCATGATTTTCATTTAGGATAGTGTAAATTTAGGGGGAAATATTGCATGCTGCCAGATCTCCTCCTTGTGTCATGGTCACCCTATGGACAGGGCCACTGTCTTTATGGGGACCAGCCTTGGTCTTCATATAAGCAAACCTTTCCACGCATACACTTCCCATGGGTACCCAGTACAGTAGTGTGTTAGTGAATTGATTTTTTATTTTTTAATCTACTCATCTCATTTCTGGATAGTAACCATGGCACCTAAGAGGAATGCAAGTTATGCTGAAAATGATAAGACATAAGAATGCAAGTCTGTGTTTTGAAAACACTGGAATTTTAGATAAGCTTAAAAGTAGAGCACAAGTGATGGAAAATACACGAGCTGCTGGTCTGAGTCAAGCATCAATCTGTACAATTAAAAGGAATGAAGTGAAGATAGGAGCTTGTGCAATGAATAACCGTGGTTGTGACCTCCTGAAAAGAATATTACATATGTCAAGAGCTAAATAAGATAAAAAAATTACTGAGTGGCCTTAGTAGAAAACGAATAAAGTGCACCAGCTAATTTCCTCATAATAAAGAAGAAAGCCTAAGAGTACTATAAAACAATGTTTGATGAGGAAGGAAGGGCTCAGCTAGAGTGTCTGTTCAGTTCTGGTTGTTCCACAACTTTAAATTACACAAACAGTTGCATAATATTAAATTTTCTGGTAAAAAATGCCTCCAACTTTAGGAAATTATTTCTGAGAGTGGTTACAAGCCACAGCAAGTATTGGTTGTTAACAAAACACATCTTGTTTTTGGAAGATGCCTGGTAGAACCTACATCAGCAAGAAAGATAAAAGTGTGCTTGGATTCAAGGCAGAAAATGATCACTTCAGCTTGCTTCTATACAGTAATGCATTAGTTTTTATATAAGCCCTAATTTATTTATCACTTCAAGACTCCCCGTGCTTTAAATGCTGCAGACAGGAACACTTTGCAAGTTATTTGGAGGTCTAACTAATCATCATGAATGACAGAGAACATGTTTGCTGACTGTTTTAAACATCATTTTATGATTTTAAAATGTCTCATTAGTTGCACGTGTCCTTTTACCTAGCATATTGTTGATAATTCTACCAACATTATTTCAAGAATATTGAATGCAAGAACCTTGAATTCAAGGTTTTCCTCACCCTTGATAATCCCCATACTTATCCTGTAATCTTGGAGGATGTATACCCACATGTCAAAAGTAGCGTTTTTACACCAACTACGATATCTTTGATACAACCAGTGGAAGAAGGAGTTATTAAGACAATTATATACAACACAAAAAAAGAAAAATGGTGTAGCAACATATCACAACAATGGATGCTGGCTCAGAGTTCTGAGTGCCAGAGTTCTGGCATAAATTTAATATTGCAAATGCTATTAACTACCACAAGTCAAAAGCCAATGGAACACAGTGTTCCAATCAACATTAAATGCAGGCTGCAAAAGATTATGGCCAAGTGTGGTGAATAATTTCACAGTTTTTTTTCCCTGGTTGAGAGGAAGGTCCAGTAAATTGTTCAGCCAAGGAGATTGTAGGTGAGGGCTTTAAAGATGTGAATTAACTCTTATTTGATGAAGAAAGATATCAAGGGGAAATGTTCCATACCCCCGGCCGGGATTGAACCCGCGGTCATAGAGTCCCGGCCGGGGGTATGGTTTATTTGCAATCGTGTCATTACGATTTCTTAAGTCAAGGGGAAATGTTGTCAGAGCTCAATGTCCCGATACAAGGAAGGCAGATAACAGGCAAGGATGAAGAACAACTAACAGAGAAACAGCTAACATAACAAAAGTTACATGAACAGTTTCATTTGTTTTGTAAAGCCGCAGATTATTTCTATGAAGAGGATTCTGACACTAGAAGTACTGCTCTGAAGCAGATTCTGGACAAGCTGATGCCTTGCCATCAGCTGTATAAAGTACTGCAGGATGAAACAGACCAGAGATACATCACAGAATACCTGAGCACTCCAATACAAACATCACCTAATGACAACTGTGCATTGATATCACTGCAAGAACCTCAGATGTCCATCTCAGCCAATGATCCACAACCTTCACCTCAGCCCAGCAGGGCCACACCATCCCTCTACACTTCCTTCAATATCATCCACATGCACCACCAACTAGAACTGTATGTAAGAAAAATTAATTTACATAGCCTTTATAAGTCTTCTTCTTTCAGCAAACTGGCCATATCCCACTGAGGCAGAGTGGCCCAAGAGAAAAAATGAAAGTTTCTCCTTTTAAGTTTAGTAGCATATAAAGGAGATGGGATTACTAGCCCTTTGCTCCCGGCATTTTAGTCACCTTTTACGACATGCATGGCTTACAGAGGAAGAATTCTGTTCCACTTTCCCATGGAGATAAGAGGACAAACAAGAACAAGCACAAGTAAGAAAACAGAGGAAAACCCAGAGGGATGTGTATATATACATGCTTGTACATGCATCTGTAGTGTGACCTAAGTGTAAGTAGAAGTAGCAAGACATACATACTTGAAATCTTGCATGTTTACGAGACAGAAAAACGACACCAGCATTCATAGCCATCTTGAAAAGCATAAATTAATCAATGAACCTCAGCATGGTTTTACAAAAGGGCGTTCCTGCCTTATGAATTTATTAACTTTTTTCACTAAGGTATTTGAGGAGGTAGATCATGGTAATGAATATGATATTGTGTACATGGACTTCAGTAAGGCTTTTGATAGTATCCCACATCAGAGACTATTGAGGAAAATTAAGGCACACGGAATAGGAGGATTTTTTTCCCAGAAAGAGGCGTGGCTGACAAACAGGCAGCAGAGAGTTTGCATAAATGGGGAGAAATCAGCATGGGGAAGCGTCACGAGCAGTGTTCCACAGGGGTCAGTGTTGGGCCCCTTGTTGATGTTCACAATCTACATAAATGACATAGAAGAGGGAATAGATAATGACATAAGCAAGTTTGCCGATGACACCAAAATAGGCTGTCGAATTCATTCTGACGAGGACATTACAACACTCCAGGAAGATATGAATAGACTGATGCAGTGGTTGGAGAAGTGGCAGATGTAGTTTAATATAGACAAATGCAAAATTCTAAACATTAGAAAGGAAAATAACCATGTCACATAAACTAAGTCACCCTGCCTCGGTGGGAGACGGCCGACTTGTTGAAAAAAAAAAAAAAAAAAAAAATGTAGATCTTAATATTACTGATTGCAAAAAGACTTTGAGAGTTCTGGTTAGCAGTAATCTAAACCCAAGACAACAGTTTATAAGTGTTCGCAATAACGAGAACAGAATCCTTGGCTTCATATCAAGAAGCATAAATAATAGGAGTCCTTAGGTTGTTCTTCAACTCTATATAGCCTTGGTTAGGCCTCATTTACATTTTGCTGCACAGTTTTCGTCACCGTATTACAGAATGGATATAAATGCTCTGGAAAATGTACAAAGGAGGATGACAAAGTTGATCCCATGTACCAGAAATCTTCCCTATTAGGATAGACTGAGGGCCCTGAATCTGCACTCTCTAGAAAGGCGTAGAGTTAGCGGGGATATGACTGAGTGTATAAATGGAAGACAGGAATAAATAAAGGGGATGTAAATAGCATGCTAAAAATATCTAGCCTAGACAGGACTCGCAGCAATGGCTTTAAGTTGGAAAAATTCAGATTAAGAAAGGATATAGGAAAGCACTGGTTTAGTAATAGAGTTGTGGATGAGTGGAACAAAGTCCCGAGTACAGTTATAGAGGCTAAAACACTGTGTAGTTTTAAAAGTAGGTTAGATAAATACAAGAGTGGGTGCAGGTGGGTGTGAGTTGGACCTCACTAGCTTGTGCTACTAGGTCAGATGCTGTGCTCCTTCCTTAAGTGAATGTGACCCGACCTGACTAGGTTGGGGCATTGGCTTAAGCCGATAGAAGACTTGGACCTGCCTCGCATGGGCCAGTAGGCTTGCTGCAGTATTCCTTCTTTTTTATGTTTTTTATGTAATCCTACCATCATGTAAAACAATTACAGGCTTCCATTTTACACTCACTTGGCAGGATGCTAGTGCCTCCCTGGGAGGTTGCTGTCTACCAACCTACTACCTTGGATAAGTATAAGTATTGTATTAAATATGCACACATCACATCATTACATCCTACTACAATTTTTTTTTTTTTTTGAGAATTAAGAAACCTAAAAAATATGTTTGGCATATCAAGGGGTATGAAGAAAACAACCCTATTTTTTCTGTATATTCTTCAGTTAGTTTCACACAATTTTCTTTAATTACCAGATAAATGCTGTTTTCAGGAATCTAACTACTGTCTTAAACAAGGGTCTCCTGAAATTTTAAATTCATTAATATTATACCCATGGATCAACACTATGGATGTGAACAACAATCAAGCTTGATGGACTAAACACTTAAATTTTACTTCTCCACTTATATAAAGGCGAGGGATTGAACATCTCGATCTTTTCTTCAATTGTTTGCAGTATTTTAAGGTACCTTTGTATTGAATGAAGCAGCCTGCTGTGAAGGCAAATGCTATGGAAATAAAGATACCCGAGTACTGCATGTGTGTCTCATTCATTTACCTGTTGAAATTGTATATGCCATTAACATAATAGTGATCCAGACTCTCAGTACTGGTGTGAAGCATAATCTTTAAATGCTGCAGAGAGGAGATTAGTTGGCAGAAATGTCTAAAGCTATGTGTAATAGGAATATGCAGATAAAAAATGAAGAAAATATAAGACTGTGAAGTTATAGGTAATGAAAAGTAGGGGACAGAGCATCCATCAGGCACTATATATGAGCTAACCAGACAAGAAATTTTAGAGGCAGGGAAAGTAATGCCTGCACTTTAGAAATGGGGTGTGGATACTGTGATTCAGTGGATCAACACCAGACCACATTCTCTGTGGCTTTTCTGCATACCATGAACCACAAAGGCAGCCATATACACAGGTACATGTATAAATATGGAAAAAAATAATTTATAACAGCTAACTGGAAAAAAAATTGAGTCATACCCAAGAGCTGGAGCTCATCCCCACTAACTCATGTATAACTGCCTATTTCTTATTCTTTATCTTCAATAAACTATATTAAGGCTACTTTTGAATAGCATACACATGCTTAAGTTATACAACCGGAAATAGTACAATAAGTATCTGACACAAATTGCACTTTTAAGACAAGTTTAAAGCAAGCATTAATCCATGGAAACCTAAATACATGTATAACAATCCACTAAAAGTCAAAAATATTAAGAGAAATAAATGCTGACAGCATATACTGCATACATTTTACACTAAACATGTTTAATTAAAAATAATAATTTAGCACACCTGAGTAATCTGTTATGTCGGACAGGTCATGACTGTCACCGTCCTCGCTCATGTAGCCAGGCGGTGGGGATTCGGTGGGAGGAAAAGTAGGTGGTGGCTCTAGCGTGGGAGCTACTGAGGTAAGAGAGGCAGAGTCACTAACACTGTCTGCTGTGAGGTCAGCAAGAGAGCTCAAGTCTTCGGCTGAGCCTGGGTCTGAGCCTGAGCCTCCCACGCCCCCACTACCACCGCCGCTACTACTGCTGCTGCTGCTACTACCCCGGGGTACCAAGATAGCTGGCAAAGCTGAAAATTAAACAAAACATGTAAAACATCTAATTTAAAATTCGAAATGAAGTTGACATAAGCTCTACATATATGAAACTTCTAAAACTACAATAGAGCCTCTCCTCACTTAGCAATGTACTCGTTTACTGACCATTCAGATTTACGACCAGCTCTCCAACCAGTATGCAAACCTAAATAATGTATATTAGAGCTGATTTCCTGTATTTTGTTTATTACGGTATACAGTACACTACAATATAAACATTTAAAAATATACCAGAAATGCTATAAATAGTGCACAGGTGACATTAAAAAATATCTAAAGATTTTTTTTTTTTTTTTATTATCACACTGGCCGATTCCCACCAAGGCAGGGTGGCCCGAAAAAGAAAAACTTTCACCATCATTCACTCCATCACTGTCTTGCCAGAAGGGTGCTTTACACTACAGTTTTTAAACTGCAACATTAACACCCCTCCTTCAGAGTGCAGGCACTGTACTTCCCATCTCCAGGACTCAAGTCCGGCCTGCCGGTTTCCCTGAACCCCTTCATAAATGTTACTTTGCTCACACTCCAACAGCACATCAAGTATTAAAAACCATTTGTCTCCATTCACTCCTATCAAACATGCTCACGCATGCCTGCTGGAAGTCCAAGCCCCTCGCACACAAAACCTCCTTTACCCCCTCTCTCCAACCTTTCCTAGGCCGACCCCTACCCCGCCTTCCTTCCACTACAGACTGATACACTCTTGAAGTCATTCTGTTTCACTCCATTCTCTCTACATGTCCGAACCACCTCAACAACCCTTCCTCAGCCCTCTGGACAACAGTTTTGGTAATCCCACACCTCCTCCTAACTACCAAACTACGAATTCTCTGCATTATATTCACACCACACATTGCCCTCAGACATGACATCTCCACTGCCTCCAGCCTTCTCCTCGCTGCAACATTCATCACCCATGCTTCACACCCATATAAGAGCGTTGGTAAAACTATACTCTCATACATTCCCCTCTTTGCCTCCAAGGACAAAGTTCTTTGTCTCCACAGACTCCTAAGTGCACCACTCACTCTTTTCCCCTCATCAATTCTATGATTCACCTCATCTTTCATAGACCCATCCGCTGACACGTCCACTCCCAAATATCTGAATACATTCACCTCCTCCATACTCTCTCCCTCCAATCTGATATTCAATCTTTCATCATCTAATCTTTTTGTTATCCTCATAACCTTACTCTTTCCTGTATTCACCTTTAATTTTCTTCTTTTGCACACCCTACCAAATTCATCCACCAACCTCTGCAACTTCTCTTCAGAATCTCCCAAGAGCACAGTGTCATCAGCAAAGAGCAGCTGTGACAACTCCCACTTCGTGTGTGATTCTTTATCTTTTAACTCCACGCCTCTTGCCAAGACCCTCGCATTTACTTCTCTTACAACCCCATCTATAAATATATTAAACAACCACGGTGACATCACACATCCCTGTCTAAGGCCTACTTTTACTGGGAAATAATTTCCCTCTTTCCTATGTACTCTAACTTGAGCCTCACTATCCTCGTAAAAACTCTTCACTGCTTTCAGTAACCTACCTCCTACACCATACACTTGCAACATTGCCCCCCTATCCACCTTGTTATACGCCTTTTCCAAATCCATAAAAGGCGTATGACAGGGTGGATAGGGGGGCAATGTGGCAGATGTTGCAAGTGTATGGTGTAGGAGGTAGGTTACTAAAGATATCTAAAGATGGCTGACATAAACCCACTACCAGTATACAGTAGGGCCCCACCTATACAACACATTAGGTTCCAGGCTACCGCTGGAAAGCAGACATCACTTGAAAGTAGAACGCCATTTTTTTCCACTTAGAAATACATACATATGCCAGATGCAACAAATTTACACTAACATGTATTAAGCTAACATAGAACTAGGCATTAAAAACAATAAGTAAAATACACACACGGTACATTCATTACTTACCTTAAAATATTTGTAGTCTAAACGTAGGGTGAGAGGCGAGCAGTATTTATTTGTACTAAGTCAGGTGTAGGTAACCAAGAAGCCCACATGGCTCCCACTCCTAAACATAATATATATTTAAAGCAGCCTAGAGTGATAAAATACACACACACAGTACACTCATTACTTACCTTAAAATACAAGTATGCGTAGTCTAACCCCTTGACCTTCACAACCCCCAATCCTGAAGTGTCTCCTGGTGTCGCAAAATTTCAAAAAGAAAAAAAAAAATTTCTTATGAAATGATAGAGAATCTTTTCCCGATTGTAATGACACCAAAAACACGAAATTTGATGAAAAACTGATGGAATTACGCTCTCGTGAAGTTAGCAACCTCGGAGATATTTACAAATCGGCGATTTCGCCCACTTTGAGCCTTATTTTCGGCTAATTCCGTTGTTCCAGTCGACCAAACTCATAGCTATTTCTTTAGAACTCAATTTTTTCTATCGATTGAGTACAAGAAACTGCCCATTTACCGATTTCAACTACCCAATAACATGGTCAGAAATTTGCAATTTGGCCAATTTCACGAAAATTAAAAAATATGACAATTTCAAAATAAGGTCCAGAATGAACACTGCAGACATTCCTGGCTCTAAAATAACATTTTCTTTGTTCATCAATCATGTCTCCAAGCCCCTCTGATATTACTCTTGCTTTCTATTTTGAATTTTTATTCAAACAAAAAATATAAGATTTACTGTTATGCAGACTACTGCAATACTGTAATAATTGTATAAATAACATCAACCCATTCATGACTGCATAGTAGAATGGCTAGTTGGACATTTATTGGACAATGACATCATTTGTTTACTTTTGAACATCAACAAAAATCAAACATTTCCCCTACTTTGAGCTCCATTTCCAGTTTTTTTTATAGTAAAATCAATCAAAATCACCTCTGTTTCTATAATATGTTTTCCATTCTATCAAATGAGACCAAGAAAACGAGAATACAACCATAAATACTATACGAAAATAGCCCACAAAGTCGGCATTTTAATTAAAAAAAAACGGTCAGTTTTTTTTTTTTCTCATTATGCACTGCATGCTCCAGGATTTTTTTTTATATGGTGCACACTGACCACACAGACCCATTCTCTCACATGTGGGCCTACCAGCTTTCTCCTGCTTGATTTGAAGCCGCTAGAATTTATGAGTATATATACGTCAAACACGGTACCTCGTAAGACGTATATATACGACCTCGACAGTCAAAGAGTTAATGTAAGGTGAGAGGCGAGTAACATTTATTTGTAGGAAGTCAGGTGTAGGTAGTCGGTAGGTGTAGGTAGCCAGAAAGCCCACCTAGTTCCCACATCTAAATGTAATATACAATATTTAAAGCGGCCCCGAGCAATATTATTACCATCGATATACCTTGTTCGCCAAGTTTAATAATTTCTAACAACTATCTTTAGATGCCATCATAAACGAAGGGAGAAGTGATGAGAAAAAGTTATGCCGAGAATTGTAAACAAAGCCGAATGCGTTAAGGGGAGTGATTGAGTCAAAGGCGGATTGATACACATTTTCTCAGGTGCTAGACCAGACAAAACATAATTTTTTCCTTCGCCCAGCTACATCTGTTTATGTGCTATGTAATGTGTTTCTTATATAATTTTGAAGAAAATAACATAGATGGATTAATGAAAATGTCTATATTAACGTAAAATAAGACATTTAATGTGCCCAAGAATGATAATTATTATTATTACATATTAGGTACTTGGTTGGTAGACAGCAACCACCCAGGGAGGTACTACCGTTCTGCCAAGTGAGTTTAAAATGAAAGCCTGTAATTGTTTTACATGATGGTAGGATTCCTGGTGTGTTTTGTCTGTCTCGTAGATATGCAAGATTACAGGTACGTCTTGCTACTTCTACTTACACTTAGGTCACACTACACGTTTATTTATACACACTCATCTGCGCTTTCTTTGATTTTATCTTAGTTCTTATTCTAATTACTTTTCCTCTCATATCCATGGGGAGGTGGAATAAGAATCTTTCCTCCGTAAGTCATGCGTGTTGTAAAAGTCAACTAAAATGCCGGGAACAATGGGCTAGTAACCCATTTTCCTGTAATAATTACTAACAAGAATAATAAGAAGAAAACTGTCAAAGTGGGAAGTCTGAATGTGCGTGGATGTTGTGCAAATGATAAGAAAGAGATGATTGTGGATGTTATGAATAAGAAGAAGCTGGATGTCCTGGCTTTAAGTGAAACAAGCTGAAGGGGGTGGGTGAGTTTCAGTGGAGGAATAAATGGGATTAGGTCAGGGGTTTCTAATAGAGTTAGAGCTAAAGAAGGAGTAGCAATAATGTTGAAGGATAATATATGGCTGGAAAAGAGGGACTATAAATGTATTAATTCAAGGATTATGTGGAGTAAAATAAAGGTTGGATGTGAGAAGTGGGTTATAGTAAGCGTATATGCACCTGGGGAAGAGAGAAGTATAGAGGAGAGAGAGGAACTTTGGGAAATGTTGAGTGAATGCACGGGGAGTTTTGAACAAGTGTGAAGATATTTTGGGGTTGGGGATTTTAATGCTAAAGTGGGTAAAAATATTGTGAGGGAGCAGTAGGTAAATTTGGGGGCCAGGGTAAATGAAAATGGGGAGCCTTTAATTGAGCTATGTGTAGAAAGAGATTGGTAATAAGTAATACATATTTTATGAAAAAGAGGATAAATAAATATACAAGGTTGATTGTAGCACGTAAGAAAGTAGTTTGTTAGATTACGTTTTTGGTGGATAGAAGGTTAATGGGTAGGCTCCAGGATGACATGTTTATAGGGGGGCAACTGATATATTGGATCATTATCTAGTTGTAGCTACGTTGAGTAAGAGGTAGATGGGATAAAGGAAAATGGCAACAACAAGTAAGAGGGAGGTGAAAGTGTATAAACTAAGGGAGGAGGAAGTTTGGGTGAAATATAAGCAACAAATTGGCAGAAAGGTGGGCTGGTGCAGGTA